CAGTATTTCTGTTTTTCTGACCCCCTCAAAATCCCACTGTTTGAGTATATAAATATACTTAATGTTTGTCCACTTACTACTTAGTGGGCATTTAGCTTCTTTCCACTTTCTGCTGTTTGGTGTAATGCTGCTGTGAACCTTGTGTATGTCGATATGTGCAGACATGGACTTTCTTTTCTCTTGGGTGTTTACTTAGCAATAGAATTGCCCAGTCAGCTGGTGACACTGTAGTATTTGGAGGAGCTGCCATCTGCTGCCAAATTTCACATTCTTACCAGCAATGTACAAGCGTTTCAGTTTCTCACATCGCCATCAATCTTGTCATCCCTTGTCTTTTTAGTCTAGCCATCCTCATGAGTGCGAAGTGGTATTTCATTGTGCTTTTGATAGCTCCCTGATGACTAAATATGTTGAAAATCTATTCATGTGCTGCTCGGTCACTTACATGTCTTGTTTGGAGAAGTGACTGTTTCAATAATGGGTCATTTTAAAATTGGACTATTGGTCCATTTGTTAACAGAGCTATGAGAGTTTTAAAAAATTAATTCCAGATACCAGATATATTATTGGCAAAATTGTTTTCCTGTGAGTTATCTTTTCACCTTTTTGATGGTGTCCTTTGATGTACAGGCATTACTAAAGTCTAGTTTATCTTGCTTATTTTTCCTTTTGTTCCCCAAGCTTTTGGTGTCATGGATAAGAAACCATTGCCCAATCTAAAGATACAGAAAGATTTACTCCTGTGTTTCCTTCAAGGGTTTTAGAGTTTTAACTCCTTTGCTTAGATCATATATCTGTGATCTATTTTGAATATATAAATTAATTTTTGTACATGCTCTAAGATGTATTAATCTGTCTTCTTTTATTTGCTTTTGACTATCCATTTATCCCAGCAATATCTGTTGGAAAACTCTCTCCCTACTGAATTATCTTGACACTTTTTTCAAAATCAGTAAATAGAGTTTATTTCTGGACTCTCAATTCCTTTCCATTTATGTATGTCTGTCTTTAGGCCAATCTTATACCATCTTGACTTCTATAGCTTGTAGTGAATTTTAAATTGGGACATATAAGTCCTTCAAAGTTATTTTCTTTCCAGATTGTTTACTGTTCTGGTTGACTTGCATTTCAATAGGAATTTTCTGCAATTCTTACACACATACAAACAAAAGGCCACTGGGATTTTTGATAGAGATGAGTTGAATCTGTAAATCAATTGGAGGACTATTTCCATCTTAGCATTTTAAATTTTCCAATCCATGAACATGGAGTGTCTTTCTCCTTATTTAGATATTGTGTAATTTCCTTCAGTGTTCTTTTGTAGTGGCCCATCTATAAGGCTTGCCTTGTTTAGTTAAATGTATGCCTTTATACAAAGTAAACTTATGTATTTTACGCTTCTGATCCTATTGTAAGTGCAATTTCTTTTTAAATTCCATTTTAATTGTTTATTGGAAGTGTGTAGAATTGCAGTTTACTTTTTATTGATTCTCCACTGTGAAACTTTGCTTACCTTGTCTATTTATTAGTTCTAGTAACTATAGGCTTTTGGTGGGTTCTTTAGATTTTTATAACTAAGATCATGTAATCTGCATACATAGTTTTACTTCCTCTCTAGTATGAATGCTATTTATTTCTTTATCTGGTCTAATCGCCCGGATACAACCTCCAGTGTGATCTTGAATAGAAATGATAAGAATGGACATCCTTGTCTTATTCCTGATATGACTGGAAGATCATTCAGTTTTCACTATTAAATGTGATGCTAGCTGTGAGCTTTCTGTTGCCATTTTTTAGGTTGAAGAGGTTGTGGGGTATTTCATGCAATATATTGAATTTTGTCATAAAGCTTTTTCTTTGTTGAGATGATAATGTGGTTTTCCCTTTTAATCTATTGAATAGGGTATCGATAGATTTTGCATTAATTCATTTTGGATGTTAAGCCAACCTTGCATTCCTAAAATAAATTCTATCTTGTTTGTGGTATAATCCTTTTTACATCTTGCTGGATTCAATTTGCTAGTATTATTTTCAAAGTTCTTTTGCATTTGTATTCTTGTAAAAGCACTGTTTAGTGAGATACGTTAAAAGTAAGTCAACTGAAATTAGAAAAGGAAATAAATTTAGGGAAAGTATTTCAGGGCAGAAAACATTTAAAAACTGTTAATAACACGATGATAATTCTAAATGCTGGGCTATCATTTCTTACCAAAACATAACTGAAACACTGTGGAAAGATAATGTGATTTAAGTTACATGAGTTAGTAGTAGTATGTTTACTTCTATCATTTGCTCTATGTGTGACTTTGGGCAAATTAGCATCTGCTCTCATCTAAACATAGTATTATAATTTCTATGTCAGGTAATCTCTGTTGTGGTGATTAAGCGAGGTTCGACCATTTAGAAGGTAACATATAATCAAGAACCAATGGTGTTGAAGGAAGAGAGCCAAACTGCACTGAGGCATTGGCAAAATCAAGGCTCCAAGAATTGATAGGATACCAACTGAGATGTTTCGACAAGCTGATGAAGCACTGGAAGTGCGCATTTATCTGTGCCAAGAAGTTTAGAAGACAACTTACCTGGCTAACCAACTGGAACTGGAAGAGATCCATCCAGATTTGTGCCTATTCTCAAGCAAGGTGATTGAACAGACTGTAGAAATCATCTAACAATCTTTAATATCACCCACAAGCAAAGTTTGGCTGAAGATCATGCAAAAACAGTTGCAGCAGTTCAGCAAGAACCATCAGAAATTCAAAGAAGACTAAGAGAGACTAGGAAATGAGTAGTATTGCTGAGATCAGATGGATCGTGACCAAAAGCAGAGATTATAAAACAGATGTGTGCCTGTATTTAATTGGCTCTGAAAAGCTATTGGATTGTGTGGATCATCACAAGCTCTGTAAAGCATTGTGAAGCTTAGGAGCATGGAACACTATGTTTAGACCGAGAAGAGATACGCATACAAACAAGGGTAGACTGCTTGGTTTTAAGTCCGGAAAGGGGCAGATCAGGGTTGTGCGCTTTCATTCTGCTTACTCAGTCTGTACTGAGCAAATACATGGAGAAGAGCACAGTGTCAGGATCGTGAGCAACTTTCGATTTGCAGACAATACGAACTGACTTACTGAAAGTGAAGAAGACTTGAAGCACTTCGTGATGAAGAGAAAGATGCTGCCTTCAGTATGGATTACAACGCAGTGTTAAAAAGGCTGGACAATTAATAAAGAAGACAGAAGAACAACTAACGCCTTTGAATTATGCTGTAGGAAAGAATACTAAATAGACCGTGGACGGGCAGGAGAACCAACGAATCTATCTTGGAAGAACTAAAGGGAGACGCCTCCGCCTCACAGCTTTGGACAGGTTCTCAGGAGAACGTCCCACTCGGTAAAGTGGACGGTCAGCGAGACGGTGGAGTGGCAGCGTCACTGCAACAGTGGCCTCCAGCACAGGGACAGTTGTGAGGCTGGTGCAAGACCCGAGTGTTTTGTTCTGTTGAACAGAGGCTCCCTTTGGGTTGGAACTTCCTTAGCACCTGACAAGGACAGAAAGAGAGCTCGTGAACCGAGGCCTGTACGGGGTGTTTTGTAAAGAGTCAAGCATTAGTGATTATATTGAATAGGTAACAGTGGAACGCGAGAAGTTCACCTCCAGAAATGCCTAAGTAATTTTTTTTTAATCAATTTATTAGGGGCTCACACAACTCTTATCACAATCCATACATACATCAATTGTGTAAAGCGCATTTGTACATTCATTGCCCTCATCATTCTCAAAACATTTTCTCTCCACTTAAGCCCCCGACATTAGGTCCTCATTTTTCCCCTCCCTCCCCACTCGCCCCTCCCTCATGAGCCCTTGATAGTTTATAAATTGTTATTTTGTCATATCTTGCCCTGTCCGACGTCTCCCTTCACCCACTTTTCTTTTGTCCGTCCCCCAGGGAGGAGGTCACATATAGTTCCTTGTAATCGATTCCCTCTTTCCAACCCACTCTCCCTCTACCCTCCCAGTATCACCACTCACACCACTGGTCCTGTAGGGATCATCTGCCCTGGATTTCCAGTTCCTGTCTTTACCAGTGTACATCCTCTGGTCTAGCCAGACTTGCAAGGTAGAATTCGTGTCATGATAGTGGGAGTGGGGAGGAAACATTTAGGAACTAGAGGGAAGTTGTATCTTTCATCGTTGCTACATCACACTCTGACTGGCTCTTCTCCTCCCCGAGACCCCTCTGCAAGGGGATCTCCAGTGGCTTTGGGTCTCCACTCCACACTCCCCCCATCATTCACTATGGTAAGATTTTTTGTTCTAATGATGCCTTATACCTGATCCATTTGACACCTCGTGATCACATAGGCTGGTGTGCTTCTTCCATGTGGGCTTTATTGCTTCTGAGCTTGATGGCCGCGTGATTACCTTCAAGCCTTTAAGATCCCAGACGCTATACTTTTTGATAGCCGGGCACCATCAGCTTTATTCGCCACATTTGCTTATGCACCCATTTGTCTTCAGTGATCCCTTCGACATCTCGTGATCACACAATGCCTCAGTAATTTTTGAAGTAGACAAAAAACCCAATGTGGACCTCGGTCATCTGTGTTTGAGATAGAAAGTGATCTAACACATAAAGGTGCTTCCTTCACGGCACAGATTGCAGAGGTAGTTTCATGGTCATCAGGTGCCCCGGACATTTTATCAGATGGGACTAGTCCCTGGAGAAGGATACTGTGCTTGGCAAAAGAGTGGTTGGAAGAACTTGATGCAGAGTTGGCTGAGAAGATTGAGTCATGGTGTATTGAGGGTTACAATATATTTTGTTTAATTTACATTGGTATGCTTTGTTGCTTTGGTTAACTTGAATTACTCCGTGTATTAAGTTTCCATTAATTTATGACTTTCTGCCATCGGACAGACTCTTCTAGAGGTTGTTTGAGCAACATTAGTGGGCCCCACTCAGAAATGACTTTTTGGTTTGATTTAACTCCCTTCAGAAACAAAGCCAGCCTGTGTGTACAACAATGTGGAATACTACGATGGAGACATGTTCCGAATGGACAACTGTCGATTCTGCCGATGCCAAGGGGGTGTTTCCATCTGCTTCACTGCCCAGTGTGGCGAGGTCAACTGCGAGAGGTACTACGTGCCAGAAGGGGAATGCTGCCCTGTTTGTGAAGGTAAGAAGAGGTACCGATTAAAGAGTAATACGGCAGAACATGGTTTAGAGTATCAAAATTGTCCCAATTCACTCTCATCCAAATGTAGGGGAAATTCCCTTTTTCTGGCTTTAGGATCTCTCTCCTGAGTATATACTTTCTCCTCCCAGAGGGAGTTGAACTCGAGTAAATAACCAACTGATTGCCATAGAGTCACGGGTCAGAGTAGAGTTATGCTCCCTTGGGTTTTCAGTGATGTTTTTTTTCCCAAAGCAGCTGCCCAGGGCTTTCTTCCAATGCACCTCTGGGCAAGCACATCCTGCGCTCCTGGGGGTTAGCATCTGAGTGCCAGGCATAGCCCTGAAACGTCAGGGAAGTGCTTTATCCTCCCCTCTGGCCGTCCTGCAGTCCTAAAGCTTCTGTCTTCACCTGACATTGGAAAGCACCAAGTGCTCTCTGATTGTTCACTCACAGTGGAAAGCGCAGGCACTGAGAGGCACGGCCCGTCAGCTCAGGAACTAACCTTGATACTCATGCCATTCCATTTGGTATCGGGCCCCTCATACCCCTCCTCCTTTGAAAAGGTGTGAGGTGAAAATGGAATCATTCTCCCCAGCTCCCAGCCCACCTAGGTGTCAGGTGTGGCCTGCCCCATTGGTTGTTCCGGGAGGGAGACTTGCTTTCGCTCTACGCCCTCTTCCCTCCAAGAAGTCATGGTCTTACCTGCTTGGTAAGGCTCTGCCTTCTTGTCACTGACACTGTAAGCATCTCCGAAGGATACCTCAGAATATCATCTACTACATCCCACACAGTTTAAAGATTAGGAAGCTAGAGTTCAGGAAAACTGCATACCTTGTGTGTTTTCCGTTGAGTCAGGAACCAGCACTCGGTGCCCTGGGGCTCTGGTGTAACTTCAATCACACCAGCTGGTTGCTCTGAGGGGACACCTTCATGAGCCTTCTGCCCTGACTGGTTCTCAGAGCTCCAGGGCGAATCCAGCCATGCCCACCCTGGGACAGAGCTCACCCTGCAAGCTCTGCACAAGGGACAGGAGGACAACATCATACCTTGTCCTGCGCCTTTTTTTAATTTGTTCCTAAAATCTTCTCTACCCCTTAAATAATTAAGTTTTATCTATCCCATAGAGGAAATCTCTGAAAATACATAGATCATTGTGTTTTTCCCCCCAAACATTACCTTCCTTCCTAATATTGAATAATCGTTCATAACAATTCCCGTATACACTCAAGTATAAGGTGACCCAAATGATCAGCCGAGGTACCTAATTTTACCACAAAAACTGCATTAAAAATGTGCTGGAAAACTTGGCTTATACACAAGTATATGCAATATGCAGTGTCTTCCCCACCCCACCCCTAGAAATTATTATAGCCAACATAGGAGAAAGGTAAATTAGTTTCTTAAATATTGCTGGGATTTTTAAAAATCATTTTATTGGGGGCTCATACACCTCTTATCACAATCCATCCATCCATCCATTGTGTCAAGCACATTTGTACATTTGTTGCCATCATCATTCTCAAAACATTTGCTTTCTACTTGAGCCCTTGATATCAACTCCTCGTTTTTCTCCCTCCCTCCCTGTTCCCCACTCACTCATGAACCCTTGATAATTTATAAATCATTATTATTTTGTCATGTCTTGCACTGTCCGACGTCTCCCTTCACCTACTTTTCTGTTATCCGTCCCCCAGGAAGGGGGTTATATGTAGATCCTTGTAATCGGTTCCCCCTTTCTGCCCCACCTTCCCTCCACCCTCCTGATATCGCCACTCTTACCACTGGTCCTGAAGGGATCATTTGTCCTGGATTCCCTGTGTTTCCAGTTCCTATCTGTACCAGTGTAATAATTATTAAAATAGTAATAATAAAGACAATCACATCAAACGTTGAACCTTGCTGATGGCTTGTTGCCTGGCCGCCCCAGGCCTGTATCTGCCTTTGAAACGATGTGGGCGTTGGGGGGTAAAGCCATAGACGGGCACCTCTGTGTAATAATTGTAGTGAGCTGTCTGGGCAGGGATCTGGTTATTTCTCACACCTGGAATTCAAACCTGGGCTCAAAGTGGAAACGTAAAAGTATGTTGTGCAAGATTTTTCTCATAAGAGAATTTTAAGTCTTCTAACTCTGGTCTCGGCCTGCACCACCTGCAAAGTTGTGACTGCGGTGTTTTAAATCTTGGTGCTGTAAAAAATCCCCAGTGCCTTTATGGCATAGAGATAACCAGCCTCGAAACTGCTAGGATTTGCCCCCAGCACAGAGAAATTGGCTTGCTGAGGCCTGTTGATGTGTTTCTGAAAAAGTCACGCAAGTGATGAATCGTTGTAGCACCACAGGGATTTTGCATTCAGTATTTATGCAGTGTTTCCTTGTCAGTAACCTCAGGAAGCTTTTATTTCCTTTTTAGCAGTAGCCTTGGCTACCTTTACCTTCTTCCCATGGTTACTGCCCCTGCTGCCCAGCTCCTAGGGAGAAACTAGCCTGAGGCGCCCTGCCTTCCCTGTAGGGCATAAGCCCCAGCTGAAGTGTAAACCTGCTTCTTCCAGAGCAAGGCCGCAGCCCCTTAGGGGCTCCCAGCCCTACCGTTCAGTGAGACCTTGAGGCGCAGCAGCACTTTTAAATGAGATGGGGATATTGTTCTTACACCTGGCAGGTGAAGAAGTAGAAGTGTGAGAAACTCTGAAGTGAACAACTCAAGACAACATTCTGCACCTAAAATGGATCTGTGCTTTCTAATTACCAGCTCGCAGCTCAAACAAGTTTTCCAACCCTGTGAAGTTTTAACAGCTGCCCAACAGCTTTTTGTTCTGCAGATTCCCACCCTCACCCCCACCCCACACTGGCCTGACATCAGTGTCAGGGCAGGTGGACATAAATCCACATCACATCTAGAGATAGCTCATGCTGCCGATCCCTCGAATTGGGGTGGGGGCGTGTGTCAGGGGTGGCTCTAGCTTCAGGCAGAGGTCACATTTAGGATGCCTGACTCTGAGCTCCTGTTTTGGTTTAGATCCAGTGTATCCTTTTAATAAGCCCGCTGGCTGCTTTGCCAGTGAACAGATCCGCGCCCACGGCGACCGATGGCGGGAGGACGACTGCACGTTCTGCCAGTGCATCAATGGGGAGTCCCACTGCGTGGCGACCGCCTGCGGACAGAGCTGCATGAACCCCGTCAAGGTGCCTGGGGAGTGCTGCCCGGTGTGCGAAGGTAAGCGTGGTTTCGGAGGCAGTTCCCGCGAGTGATCCATGGAGAAACTTCTGCGGTGCAGTGCGCGCTCGGGTTGGTTTGGGTGCTTCTGCCTTGGGCTCAGTGTGTGCTTCCCACCGCTGGCCGCAGTTGCCGATGCGTTTAGTTAACACAGCCACAGGTGATCACTTTGGGAAACGTTGGGGACTGCAAATGAAAGTAGTGTCGTCTTTATTTTACCATCCCAGGTAGGCTTCCTGGAACACTTGACAGTGAAAGAATGTGTACGTTTTCATTCGGTTCACGTTAAAACTTCTTAACGGCCATGGGTCCAAGCAGTGACATAAAACTGGAAATAAAGATGAGTGTAGCCTGTTCTGCTTGGAATGCTTCCAATAAGCCCATGAGTCCTGGGACCTACGAGAAAACTGGAGCCATCAAAGGCAGTTTGCACTGCCTGAGGCCCGACTCTGAGCATCTATTCTGTTCTAATATCATGATACGTGAGATTTTCCACCGCCTCTCGTGTTTTGCTTATGTCCTGATCTGTCAACGTTTGCAACCTCTCTTCCTGGTTAGTAGGGGGAAGCCTGAGGCGTCATGGACTTGTCCTTCCGCCCTAAGCCCTAGCTCAGTCCCTCCCTGCCTCCCAGCCTAAGAAGGTTCTTCACATATTTGTGCAGGTCCGTCTGTATCCTCTATGCGCCTGTTAGGACAGGCAGGAGTTTCAATATTTATACCAAACAGATCAATACTCTCTGTCTTTAAAAAGTACAATGCATGGTAAAATTAAAGTGGACCAAAAATAATTCTATATGATAGCTGGATCCTTCTAGAAATTTTTAAAACCGGTACTAAGAAACTGCCAGGTCTTTTTAATATTATTTCAGTTAGGTAGTTCAAAAACTCACTGTCCCTCGTCAAGTAGAACAGCCCAATACGCTTTCCAAGGCAGTTGCCTTTATGAAAGCAGACTGCCTCATCTTTGTCCTGCTGAGTGGCTGGTGGGTTTGAACTGCCCACTTTTCAGTTAGCATCCCCACTAAGGCTCCTCTGGTAAACTAGCACCTCTATCCAAAAGTGTTTGCTTTTTACGGAATTTTAATAAACTCATCCTTCAGACTTTGCCTTATAAGCTTCATTGACCTTCAATGAGTGAGACTCAGTAAAGACTCTCAAGAATGTGTATAGATTTCTTTTTTTTCTTTTTATTAATCGTTTTATTAGGGGCTCATACAACTCATCACAATCCATACGTACATTAATTGTGTAAAGCACATTTGTACTTTCATTGCCATCGTCATTCTCAAAACATTTGCTCTCCCCTTAAGCCCCTGGCATCAGTCCTCATTTTTCCCCTCCCTCCCCGCTCACCCCTCCCTCATGAACCCTTGATAATTTATAAATTATTATTTTGTCATATCTTGCCCTGTCCGGCGTCTCCCTTCACCCACTTTTCTGTTGTCCATCCCCCAGGGAGGAGGTCAGATGTAGATTCTTGTAATCAGTTCCCCCTTTCCAACCCACCCACCCTCTACATTCCCAGTATCGTCACTCACACCACTGGTCCTGAAGGGATCATCCACCCTGGATTTTGTGTTTCTGGTTCCTATCTGTACCAGTGTACCTCCTTTGGTCTAGCCAGACTTGCAAGGTAGAATTGGGATCATGATAGTAAAGGGGTGGGGGGGGTGAGGAAGCATTTAGGAACTAGAGGAAAGTTGTATTTTTCATGGTTGCTACATCGCACCCTGTCTGGCTCTTCTTCTCCCCGAGACCCCTCTGCAAGGGGATCTCCAGTGGCCTACAAATGGACTTTGGGTCTCCACTCCGCACTCCCCCCATCATTCACTATGGTAAGATTTTTGTTCTGATGATGCCTGATACCTGATCCCTTCGACACCTCGTGATTGCACAGGCTGGTGTGCTTCTTCCATGTGGGCTTTGTTGCTTCTGAGCTAGATGGCCACCTGTTTAGGTTTCAGCTGGAGGAGTCTCGTTCTGGCGCCCCCCGATCCTCACCGTTAACTCCACTCAGTGGAGTGCAGCTGCCACACTCCCTTTATCACTTCCAGAAGACCCCTTTTTTGGAAATCACCCGCCCTCTCACACACAAACACCTCCCAGCTCCTAAAAGTGACATCTCAGCACTGGAAAGAGAAGTGTCCAGAAATATGTATGGTGGTTGTACGGTTGGTTTACAAGAGAGTACCCTGCTGAAGCAGAGAAAAATTAGGGCAAGCCCTGGTGAACTTAAAGTATTTCAGTAGGCCTGTGTGTGTTATACTATAAGAAAAATTAAAAGCATAAGTACATAACCCAGCAAACACCTAGCTCTCAGATCTCATGGAACTGCATCATAAATGCAATATAAAGCTAAAAAGAATTGTAAAACTAGGACCTTTTCCAAAAAATAAATGAAGGAGAGGACATCTTCGTATGCTCTGTATTTTCTCATGAACGTTGTCTATCTGAGTAGAAAAGGGAGGCAGCTGGTGAATATAAATATACTAGGAGAACCCTGAAAGTTGTGCTCCTAGGGCTCCCATTCACGTATGCACAGGTTCATCCCAAACAAAATATGTACCGACATGGGATCTCCAGATGGCTACAGACAAGTTCTCTTTGCGACCTTTGAGTCTCAGTCTCCTGAGGATGCCTTAAAAAATAATCCCTACGCAACGGCCTTCCGAGCAGGTCAGCTTCGTCAGTTACATACAAAGCAGAGAGGTCGGTTTAGAAGCTTGTTGTAACTGTTTTAGAGGACTCCAAAGGAGTAGTCTTGGTAGCTTGTTCTCAAACAACACAAGATCACCACAGGACTTAACGATGAATACGACGTTTCAATTAAAAGCTGTGTTGGTGAGAGAGGGACCTGGGGCATGACCTTAAGGATTGCGTCTCCATCATGTCTAGGGTGAGCCAGCCCCTGCTGTGCGCTTAGCCCCTGCTGTGCGCTTAGCCAGAGCTGTCTTAGGAGGATTTCATCTCATCCATCCTATGGCCCTGATCTTGCCCCTTCAGACGTCTTTTTATAACCCAAACTCAAAGAACATGTGAAAGGAGCCTGACCCGAGCCTCTGGAGGATTCTAAAACTGCCTTTTTGACATGGTCGAGATCTAAGGACACAGACGTCTTTGGAGAGAAGAGTTGGAAGGAGGGAAGTACTGCCTCCAGAGGTGTAAGATCTAGATGGAAGATATATTGAGAAAACCAGTAGCTTCACATTTTGGTATTTTTGTTTAATAAAGACTTCTATGCATTTGTAGCTTTTTTTTTTTAACTTACCCTCCTATATATTCCCCTCTGCCCCCCTCTCTCCCACTGAGGCCATTTCAATTCACAATGACCCTATAGAACAGGGCAGAACCGCCCCTGGAGTTTGTGAGGCACAATCTGTACACGAGCAGACAGCCTCATTTCTCGCTCGGAGCAGCTGATGGGTTTGAAACGCTGACCTTGGGATTACCGGCTCATAGCAGACTACACTACTAGGGCTCTCTCTTACATGCATAAAGGGGCTTGAAAATGTTTGTGTAAAACATTTTCTATGATCTTCTAATTCTATTTTTCCATTAAAATTTTGAAGCCTCCAAGTTCTCTCTCTCTCTCTCTCACACACACACACACACACACACACACAATCACTGATTTATTCTTACTTCATGTAAATGTTTAAATAAATAATGAATATGAGTTTCATTTTTAGCACCCACATTTAGTTTTAGTCTTATCAACTGTTTGAGAAAGTTAACAGTTTTGGTCAGTCATTGAATTTTTTAGCAGTTATGAAAACCTAAGTGTTGGATCTACTGCCATAAACAGTTACAGTCTTAGAAACCCACCGGCTGGGGTGAGGGGTTGGGGGTCACTATGAGCCAACACTGAATCAATGACAGTGAGTTTGGGTGTTGGTTTTTTTACATGTTGGATTGCTGAATGCTGAGTCAGCAGTTTGAACCCACCAAATGCTTTGCAGGAGGAAGATGAGGCTATCTGCTCCCCTAAAAATCCACAGCCTTGGCCACCTTTGTGGGGCCACTATGGATCAGAAGTGATTAGGTTTCTTTTCGTGTATTGTCCGGGATTTCATTCCCTTTGGTGCCACAATCAGCACTCATGGGAGCGCTGGTGAAGAAATCAAAGGACAGTACATTGGACAAGGCTGCTACAAAAGAACTCTCAAGTGCCAAAGAGCAAAGTTGTGCCTACCCCAGACCATGGCGTTTTCTGTCTCCTCATGTGCCTGTAAAAGCTGGGCAATGAGTCAGAAGGTCTGAGGGAGAAATGGTTCATTTGCAGGAACCATTGAGGCAGAATACCAAAAGTACCGTGGACTGCCAGAAAAACCAGCAGATTTGTCTTGGAGGAAGTACAACCAGAATACTCCTTAGAAGCAAGGATGATGAGTTTCGTCTCGTGCATTTTTTGATGTTATAAGAAGGACCGGTCGCTGGGAAAGAACATCGTGCTCGGTCAAGTGGAAGGGCAGCAAAGAAGGCGGCGGCGGCCCGCAACAGATGGGTTGGCACAGTGGTTACAGCAGTGGGCTCAAACAACACTGTGGGCATGGCGTCGTGTTTTATTCTGTTGCGCAGTTTTTCAGTCAGTTGGAGCCTCCTGGAAAGCACCTACCACCATCAACAGCAGAGTGCAGACACAAAGATGTAGGGCACAGTGTCCAGTTAACTGCAAAGAAAATGCTGACGTTTTAAAACGAAAACAATAGAAAAGGAAGGTCCATATCGAGGTACTTTGGGGTAAGTGCTGTATACATTTATAACCGGTTTAATCTTCATGGCAACAGTGGAAGGCTTTGTGGTGCCAATGTAAAGTTAAGGAAGTATATAAAGTATACAGATACTTAGATAACTCCCCCAAGATCAGTTGGTTACCTTTGGGATAAACTCAAGGCTTTTGAAGGCAACAGCCCATGCTTTTGCCTCCCCTGCTCCCATGGGCCACCTCACGTTCCACAGTCCCTCTTCTTCGTCGTCTGGCCGCATTTGGGGGAGAGATG